GCCATGTAGGGCTTTAAAGGTGATAACCAACACCTTGAATTGGACCCAGAAGCAGACTGGGACCCAATGCAGCTCACATAGCAATGGTGTAACGTGCCATCCTTGGGGCACCTAAAATTGCCCTTGCGGCTGCATTTTGAACCAGCTGAAGCTTCCAGATACTCTTCAAGGGTAGCCCCATGTAGAGTGCATTGCAATAGTCTATGCAATAGTCTACTTTGATACCATTGATAATGGTATCCTTCTGGATGAGCTCAGGGGAGTAGCAGTGGGAGGTATGGGGTTGTGGAGGTTCTCCTCCTTTCCTTGAAGCCAGTTTCTGTCAGTGTTGAGGAAAGATTTAGCTCTAGATCCTTGCTTTGCAGGATGCCTCAGGGCTCTTCTTTCTGTTCCTATTCAACATCTATTTAAAGACTGAGTGAGGTCATCCATTTGGACTTCTGCTATACATTCTACATCGGGCTGCCCTTGAGGAGCATTTGGAAGTTGCACCTGGCCCAGAATGCTGTGGCATGAGCAGTTTTGAGCATGGCAGTATGCAGTCACGTAACATCATAGCTGCATAAATTGCACTGGCTTCCACTGGGTTTCTGAGTGCAACTCAAGGTATTGGTTATCACCTATAAAGCTGTACATGGCATAGGGCCAGGTTAATCGTGGGATCACTTGTCTTGGATCATTTCTGCTCACCTCACCAAATCCAACAAGGTGGAGATGCTCCAGTTCCCATTTATGAAGCAGTGCCATCTAGCAGGACCTGGAAAATGTGCCTTCTCTGTTGTGGTGCCTATGGAACAGCATTTCCCCATAACTCTGATGGCCCCAATCCTGTTAGCCTTCCATAAGACTGTAAGGACCTGGCTTTTCCCTTAAGCATTGGGGTTTGGATGTTAGGTTAGCCTGATTAGTTTGTCTGTTGTTTGTATGCTATTTGATTTACAAGATAGAAGGGATTTTTTTGGACCTCAGGCACATTGTATTTGATCACTGTTATAATTGTTTTCAATTATTTTGGATTGTTGACGTTGGTGTTAAACTTACTTTAGTTGCCCAGTGTCGCATTTGCAAGACAGGCATCCATATTAATTGTTTAAATAAATAAATACTGACTGGAGCTAAGCACCAATCTTTCCAAATTCTCCATCCAATTTGTGGGCAGAGATATTAGATGCATGATTCCTCCAAATTTCTCCAGGGTGAGAAGGAGATCCTTTAATCATTTCTCAAGGGCAGGACTCCCTTTAGAGTGACAACTGTGGCGTCATTGCGAAAAAAGTCGCATGGGAGGAGTTCCCTCGTAAGGGATTGGGAAAAAACGTGTGGGGATAGCAAAGCTGCAGAGTACTGGCAAGATTACTGAACAATGGAAGACAGGATATTTACACAGGGTCCTTGGCCACCTCATTGCTAGTTAGATGCATTCCCAACCCATGAGAATTTCTCTAACATTCTCTTCTCCTTGGGGGGAAAAAGCAAATCCTCTTTCTTGCTGAGGATGGATAGGAAAAAATACAGTAGAACATCTCTGCCCTGTACTATTGAGCATTGGAGGTGTAAGGCTACAGCTTAGAAAAGGATGTATTAGATCATGTGGGCTGCTGATCCCCCTATGGCAAACACGCATTATGTGAACAGGAATGAAAGCAGGCTGGAAAAAGTTGCCTGTACCATATGCCAAGTAGGATTATTTAACTCCGAGATATCTGGGAAAGGCCGGGGCTGTGCTAGTTTCTTTATTCTGGGCGATGCCACCACATTCAGAGCTGCGCATGTTACTGACTGCTCAGGAAAAGACCTGAATTTGGCAAAAAAAAGAAGAAAAGAAAAGAAAAAACAACTGAGAAGATCTTAAAAAGGGAACATATCAAATTCATTATGCTAATCACAGTATGATTTATTTGACTTAACATGTGGTATGAATCCAACCACTGTCAGTTGAGAGCCTTATTTTTATTCATTATTTTATTCATTATTTTATCTTAATGTGAGTTTGGTGTAGAGGTTTAAGGCACCATGATAGAAATTGAGAGACTGCTCCTGACAGTTGGGTGACTTTGGGGCAGTCCTAAGAAGAAGGTAGTGACAGACCAAATCCAAAAATGTTGCCAAGAAAACCACATGGACTTGTTCTGGCAGTCACCAGGAGTCAAGAATGATTTAAAGGTGCTCACGCGTGCGCACACACACGCACATTTAAAAAATATATATGGCTGCTCATTTCACAGCAGTTGGGTGGCATACAAAGTTAAAACCATCACTAAACAATCTATATAATAAATGTCTAAGGTCACAAACAGGAAATTCCAATTTACAATAAAAACAACATCAGTTCCCTTAAACTACTAACCCAAATGTCTGGGGGAACAGCCATGTCTTTAGCGCCTTATGAAAAACAAGCAGGTCTATATGTTGCTAGAACAGCCAACTGTTCTTTAGTAAGAAATCATGATGAAACAAACCATGGTTTAGGAAGAGCAGGGTTCCACTCCTGCCACCCTGATTTTCATTTTCAGGCCACAGGGGAATGTGGTGATGTTACATATGATCCTGTGCCTGATTTTTTTTAGCCTGCTTTTACTTTTTTTTTTTTTTTTAATTAAAGTTTATAGTTTGGTGGGACTTAGAAACAAAACAAAGGGCTGTGAAAATCATCTGCCCAAGTTTGAATATCACGTTGGGAGTGATTTGGACAATCCATAGACCCCATGGGGATTTCTTATAGCCTGTAGATTGTCCAGCTGATCCACCGATCATAAAGGAAACAGGAGTACCAGAACTGGCCTGCAGTTCTCTGCACAGTTGATAGATGACGGGAAAAGAGTTTGAGGTTTGTATATCTCTTTGCTGCCAACTTGTCATCTAGAGTTTTACAGAGTGGATATATTACTACTGAGAAAGCACGCCTTGTCCCTTGATGTCGAAGAAGGAATGACATGCCTTTCTGCAATTCTCATGACCATAACCAGTACTTATTCCCCCCTCCAAATTCAGGTTAGAGGGGGAAGAACTACTGGCAGCAGTGGTGAAGATAACAGGTGGGTTTTTTTAGCTCTTTTTTAGAACTTTCTTACATTTAGATTCTACTTTTCCTATCAGAACTCAAGGTGCAATACACCGCTCTTCCACGTTTATCCCAGAACATAATCCAGGGAGCTAATTTGGTCTGGAAGAGAGGAACTGGCCCAAAATCATCCAGGGAGCCAAGCTCCTTAACCACTACACATTGGCCCCGTTTATAGTAAAACAGTTGGCTATCATCACGCTAAATGGGTGTTTGGCATAAACTCTTTTTTGAAAAATAGAATCGAGAAGCATCTATCTGCAGTTCAAGCGCAGTTTTCAAGCACTAGCAGCCGTTACATGCTTGATTGGGCCGGGGGGCGACAAGCAGATTGAACATGCTGTGCAAACTCCAAAATGGTGCTAATTGACCCAGCAGAGTTTAAGCTTGACCCCCAAACAGACCCATATTTGTTTGGAATTAAATTAGCTGCCCTAGTCAATTTATTCTTCTCCCCCTCTGTTGTCCGTATTATTTCTCTTAAGATTAATTGTCCCTTCCAATATCTACAGCTGAACCATTCCTAAAGACTCCCTGCAAATACGGCCCATCTCCAGGCACTGTATCTCTGTGGCTCTTGTCATCTTCTCTCCCACCATTAACTCCCATGTCTCTCCCATGTCCCAACTCTCCCTAATCTTAAGAGCCGAAAAGTAGCCAGAAATTGGAAGAAGCCCTTGAGCGGTGCTGAACTTCCCCCTCGATGGACATTTTCAAATGGGAGGTTGGGTAGGCTACTTGTTGGGTGTGCTTTAAAGGGTTCCTGCAGGCCTTTTGGCCCTTTCCAACTCATGCACTCTATGATTCTATTATTTTTATTTACATATTGTTAGTCTTATAAGCCACCTTTATTTCGTGCAAAATAAAGTAACATATAATGCTCCTGCCTCCTATTTTTCCCACAACGACAACCCTTTGTAAAGTTGGTTGGGCTGAGAGAATATGACCAGCCCCAAATTACCCAGCTGCTTTCATGCCTAAGGGAGGACTAGAACTCGTGGTCTCCTGGTTTCTAGTCCAGCACTTAGCTTCTACACCAGACTGGCTCTGTGAATCCAGTCAACTGCATTTTGTCCAGGGAGATCTGGCTAACTAAACCATGACTTAGCACAATACATGAACCCAACCATTAAAAGTGTTTAAATAAAATCCAGTATTAACCAGCGTCTTTTTTTCCAAACTGCACATGACCAGGTTGATTTTCTCTTTTCCTGCCAGGCCAGTGCTTGGCAAGATAGTTCAGATTAGCTCACTTCTCCCCCACCTCTCATATCTGTAGCTTGGATTGACCCTCTTGAATTGAGACAACTCTTCCTGCCTAGGAGTTAAAACTGCAAAAGAGAGGCAGGAGGGGAAAAGAGAAACAGCGGAGGTTAGAATAGCATTCCCAGGATGGGATACCTTTCATTTATACTCTCTGGAGTCATCCCTAATAAAAATGTTCGTGATTCAATTCAAATTTTATTTTCAAAATTTTCTGAATGTTTCGATGTATTTCTTTCCAGTACTTTTGACATTTTTTTTGCATGACCACCACATATGATAGGATGTTCCTTCTTTAGCTCCTGATTAACTCGCTCCTTCGGCCAACTATTTTTCATAGAACTTTTTCTTACAGTAATTGTATGCTTTGGTCTCAGCATGCAACCCTTGTGCTCTACTCCGTCCTTTGTACTCTTGCTTTTCTCTGCATCCTCAGTTCAGGCCTCATGGATACATTACCAAAATCTGCCCTTCTAATTCCCCCCCAATTTCTCTTCCCCATGAAAGCGGTTTCTGGTTTTCTAACTCATTTTTAGGGTGCTCTAGAATTTCTTTCATATTTATTTGGTGCTGTTTTTGAGCTGACTTGATTGCTGCCAGTGTAGTGGCTGATCCTGCTGCTGATTTCTGTTCTACCCCACTCCCTCTCTCTCTAGCCTCCCTCTCTGACTGCACTTCGCAATCTGAAAAAACCCCTAACAAAAAGTCCCTTTGTGATGTCTTTTCTTAGAACGTAACTGAGATGGGAGAAGCCAGGGAGTCTATAGACTGTTGAAGAGGGATTGGACACTGAAAGTAGGCCATTCCCACACATCTGCAGCCACTTCTTCGGAGCCAAAACAAATGCTTGGCACATTTTTGGCCCAGCACCAGTCTTTTATCTCGGGTGAAAGGATTTGACAAAGTAGGGCTGGGAGAAAGATCCACTTGAAAATTCAAGAGAGTGACTGCCCACTCAAGTACCTCATAACCTTGTTAAGATAGTCCTGGGTGCCTTTTGATAGAAGAAGTTTTATAGTGTATTTCGATTGGCTTGTAAAGTCAGTTGATAGGACTGAAGAGGGCAAACTCAGGAGATCCCCTGGGCTTGCAGAAGTTAGCCTATCTAGGTGGCAGGGAAGAACTGTGAAGGGCTAGGAGGTAGGAAACATGGGGGTGGCCACTGGAGGTCCCTCCTCCCTGACACAAGCACCTAGGAAGCCCTTCTGGATCAGACCAAAGGCCTCTTCTGTGTTACAACCAAGTGTATTCAACAAATCCACAGTTCTCACCCAGGTCCCTTGAATGATGGTGGAGCTACAATGGCGAGGATTTCATTTTACATTAAGTTTCTAGTATTCATGATGGCAGAAGGGCAGGTTTGTACTGCCCTGAGTTTGTGCTCCAGAAGATACCCAAACCCTCCTCCACTTTCTTCTTCTTAAAGAAAGATATGCTGATATCTTTAGTTTAAAGAAAGATATGCTGATATCTTTAGTTTAAAGAAAGATATGGTGATATCTCCATTGGGACGTGCCCTGCAACTAGACAATTTCCTAGAGTAACCTAATGGTCAGTGGGTGTGGTGGACTTCAGTTCCCAGAATCCTGGGAAATGATATCTACCCTAGGGTTGAGGAAGATGAGCAATATTCTTGTGACCGCTTTAAAATAAATGAGCGATTGTACTCCAAAGATTGCAGGGTATATGGCTAGTGATATTATCATGATGCCATGAAGTCACTGGACTGAGCCAGGCCAAAACCTTCAGCGCCCATTTTGTCCTTCAAAAGGGATTAAAGATATTGGCCCATCCAGCCTGGGGGTGTTTTATAAGCTGTCAAAAGTGTGCTCTGGGTCACATGCAGAGCACAGACCAGGTTCCTCTGCTCTGGAACGTACATTCTAACTAACTTGCCTGGAATTGTGAATCTTGGCTGTTCTTTGGGTATTTTATCTACCCAGTATACAGTAGGTCTGCAAGGAGAAAAAAGAGAAAAAATGTGCTAAATTAATCTGCAAAACGTCTGTCTCCATGGTCCTTCTGACCCCCAGTTTACTGGCAAACCTGAGGATTATTCATCTCTTTTCTCTTAATCACAGGATATCACAAGAAAGGCCAATCATGTCCCCCTGAAAATACGAAACACCAAAGGGAAATATTTATTCTAACATCTGTCGTCTTAAGAACGCCTGAGCTATAAATGTGACTTGCTCTGAGCCTTGCTAAGTTTCATAGCAGTATAAAGCAAGACCTTTGTAGAGGCATGACTAATTCAGACAGATTTCATCCTGTAAAATGGTCGGTCTTCAAAGTTAATAAAAAGTCCAGCCCTTAATGCTGCCAGCTGGTGCCAGCAGGTTTCATAACTATAGCAGAAAGGAGATTTATTTACAGAAAATGCATGATGAGGATAGGCAATTAAATCTTAATTATCTACACTCTGTTGCCCCTTGTGGTCAGGAGGTGCCGAACAGTCAGTGCCATTGGATCTGAAGCTCCAGCAAGGACTTGCTTCCTAGGTTTTGCTCAGTGGTATGGCATAAATTTGCACCAAGGAAGTCCCCACGATCAAGCCTGGCATCTCCAGAAGGGCTGAGAAAAATGCACTCAAGGGGTACATTCAGAGGGCTGGCACAGATTGCTCCAGCTCTTCCCATACACAAGGCAGAGAAACACAGAGTTTTTAACCGCCTCTGCATTTAAGCTCTGAATGTGCCTTAAATGCAGTGAGTTTTGAGAAAACGGAATTCTGACCTGCAGAACAGAACTTGGTGGTTGACTTTTGGACGGGCAAGGATGCTGATCCGATCCTGCTTCGGCTCCCATTCTGGAGGCATCAGTTACCAGAGCAACCAGCCCTGGAGGCTTTTGGAGAGGAAAATTGAAGTAATGCTTCCAAGCAAGCAAATGATGATGAAAACTCCGCTAATATCTAGTGAATGGTACATCGATGTCTCAGGGATGTTCTGGAGACAGGGAGAACGTGTGGGGGTCAGGGGTGGAAGGTGAAGGAAAATTATTCAGATCCCAAGGTGTCTTCTAGGGTGCAGCCGCTGTAATTCAGATTCAAATCTAGCTGAGATGGAGCGTTCCTATTGCATCATGTATTTGTTTGTCAAATTTATATAGCTGCCCATCTCACAAAACAAGTGACTCTGGGCAGCTATCTAAATTATTATCCATGATTCCAGCCAGATCTGTCTCTTTCTAGGATATTTAGTTCCCAACTAACTCCAGATTTCTGCCTGATTTGCTTGTTTGGTGGTTTCCCCTGCCCTATATAGTTTTCCCCCAACCAACCTTTTTTTGTACTTCAGAAGAGACTAGGATTCTCTTAAAGCCCATGGAGTCAAATAACGAGTTCTATCTGCTGTGTAAGCTTTGTAGCTACCTTTTCTTCAAAAAGAATTCAAGGCAGCCTGAATTCCCCTCCTCTCTTCAGATTTCACCACAACAACAAACTTATGAGGTAGGCTGGGCTGAGAGGCAAGGACCAGGCCAAAGTCTCCCGGGGAGGTTGACAGGGGGCTTGAACCTGAGTCTCCTTGCTCCTAGTCCGGCCCCTCCACCTCTCTACCCCAATGGCTTTTATTTTACTTGCATTGCCTATGTCCAGAACTGGTAGAAATTATTCGGTGGTACTCCTATATCTATTTTCAGAAGTTGATTCTGCCTTACTGCATAAAATATGCTAAGCAGGCTGCCGGGTGACTTTCTTCTTCTTCTTTTAATTGCGCTACTAGGGTACAGCTCTGGAAACCAGATTGGCATAAATATTTATTATTTTTTAAAGCGGTAATATCGGTTGTCACCACATGAGGGTAGCCTTGCCCCAAATAAATGGTGTGTGATATTTATGTAAAAGCTTAGACAGAAAGTGGGAATAGAGACTGCTGAACAATTAGAGATGATTCAGAAATTCAATAGGATAGATAGATAGATAGATAGATAGATAGATAGATAGATAGATAGATAGAAGATAGATTGATAGATGGTAGGTAGGTAGGTAGATGGATGGATGGATGGTAGGTAGGTAGATAGATAGATAGATGATAGATTGATAGATGGTAGGTAGGTAGGTAGGTAGGTAGATGGATGGATGGATGGATGGATGGATGGATGGTAGGTAGGTAGGTAGATGGATGGATGGAAGGTAGGTAGGTAGGTAGGTAGATAGATAGATAGATAGATAGATAGATAGATAGATAGATGATAGATTGATAGATGGTAGGTAGGTAGGTAGATGGATGGATGGATGGATGGATGGATGGATGGTAGGTAGGTAGGTGGATGGATGGATGGATGGTAGGTAGATGGATGGATGGTAGGTAGATGGATGGATGGATGGTAGGTAGGTAGGTAGGTAGGTAGATGGATGGATGGATGGATGGATGGATGGTAGGTAGATGGATGGATGGATGGATGGATGGATGGATGGATAGATGGTAGGTAGGTAGGTAGATGGATAGATAGTAGGTAGATGGATGGATGGATGAATGGTAGATAGATGGATGGATAGATGGATGATAGATAGATAGATAGATAGATAGACAGACAGACAGACAGACAGACAGACAGACAGACAGACAGACTTTCATATCATTGCGTGGATCAGAACCTAATTCTCCATCAGCCTTTGGGTTCCTCAATTATTCTGAAAGAGCTCTTATTCAAAAGGAAATTCAAATACTGTACATATTTTGAGAGATAACATTTACACATGTGTAAGTAAAGTCTAATGTTTGTATTTCAGGACAAATCCCTGTTTCCAAGATATTCAAATATATTCGCTGCATCTGGGTTGTACAATGGTCTGTGAATTGAAACCCTCTCATGTGCATCTCATTTTGCATAAAACGTCTGAGATCACATTTGTATGTATGTTTTGAGCCAAGAAATGCATGGCAAAACTCACCTAACTGCATAGTTTGAACTGCCATAGTTTTCCAACATAGATATTCCTCCAATAAGTGAAAATAAGAGGAGTTTGCTGGAACATGTGGACCCAATACATTTCATCCCATGCTAACTTGTGAGAAAATACTTGCGAAAGTGTGATTCTGACAGTGAATGGCTAGAATTCTCCATCCTTTTCTGTAGTACTTAACAGCTAATGGGTGATTAGCTGTTAAAATTCAGATATTTTGTGTGTGAGAAAGCTGATTAATTGCTTCAAGAACAGGGGGTGTTTCCTCCAATCTGCTACCACCTCCCCAAATTTTGAGATCAAGTGCAAAATTGTTGCCATAGCATCCTTGCCGCGATACCACAGGTGTGACAAAATTCAGGCTTCGGGGAGTGAGAGTGTTTCTGTGCCTAGGAGCACAAACAGAAGCCAAACACACCCACAGACGTTGTGTTCACAAAACTAACAACTCTAGGTTAAATTGGGGCAAGGTCATTTGTAGTTCAGCAAATTTTGGCAACTGCTCTGTGGGTTGATTCCCTCCTTCAGAATTCTTTACCAAGTTTGGTTATTGTCATGAAAGAGGCTGAAGAATCCCGACTTTTTTTCACAAAGGTTTCCTGCAAGTACCAGGAACCCTAAAACAACATGGGCGGCATATAAATTTAATAAATTGTTATTGTTCTTAAGCTTCCTTTTCTACAGCCCCTAGAATTCCCTCCAGCTACATCCCAGTTATGGAGGCACAATTGCTAAAAATGATGGGAGTTTCCTGGTGTTTTGAGGAGGATGTGATCCTTAAGATAGGCTTCATGCAACTGAAATAGCCAAGACTTCCTCCATTGCTCTCACGCCACCTTAAAAAGATGGGACTTGTCAATCCACCTGTATGCTACGTTTTCAACCAGTTTGCCTCATCTTCAGTCACGTGGCAATCTTCAGACACACACATTCCCTGTCCCCCACCCCACCCCGTATGCCTGGCTTCCCAAAGCAGCTCATCCTGGGCCTATCAACATACTATGGCTCAGTGATAAATAACTTGCTTCTTTTGGGCAATTCCAGACATTGGCTAGCAAACCTGAGAAGGCCACCAGCCAGCCTGAAGCAGAGCAGTGTTTCTCAACCTCCTCAACTTTAAGATGGGTGGACTTCCAACTCATGCTGGCTGAGGAATTCTGGAAGTTGAAGTCCATCCATGGAGTTGAGGATGTTGAGAAACACTCCCCTAGAGAGTTTCCTGTGTGGATAAAAAAGTAAAGACTCCTTCAAGTTGAGTCACCTCTTGATGATTTCATGTACACGGGTTTCTTGGCAATGGTATGTGGGGGGCAGGGTGTGGTCAAAAAAAGCCAAGATAACAGCTACAGTGGCGTGATCAAAGCTTTGTTTGATCAAAGGTTTGTTAGTGCTGCTCTAAAACTATGCCATTGAGGATAGCAAAGAAGAAATTATTGTTCGTTTGTTTTTAAAAATTAAAATTTGGTCAACTGAGCTGGGGGAAGTAAGTAACTAACATTTTATGTAGGGGAAACTAGCCCTTCTCCTCTGGAGACTTACTTATTGCTGTTGATGATTAGGTTTCATCTCTATAACTGGGTGTGTTTAAACACACTTAATTCACATCTGGAATTCATCCATTTTTCTGGGTTTGCACACTACATTGAGCCATAAATGAGCTGAAGAGTTTTGCACAACATGCTAAGACATACACATACACACGTACCCATATACACCCGGAGCCTAACTGAGATTAGCATGGTGTGTGACTCCAGTTGCCTGGTCAGTAAATGATCTGGTTGAACTTCTTGTGCGAACTCAGCTACTATATAAATGTAAAACTTTTTTTTTTCCAGAGTAGGTCCAGTTCCATCATCAGAAGACACCCAGGTGGGATTTGCACAGGAAGCTTAACCAGGGCTCTGAGGGCTCTGGCCAAAGACATTTGTGGGCAGACAGCCATGAAGATCAGCTGGAGAAAACTCTCATTCAAGAGACAACACTGAACTCCACTTCCCAGTACACGGACTCAGTAAGAGCAGCTTCCTAAGTTCCTGTGCCTCGGAGTTATTTTTCCTCCGGGACCTTTTCCTTATCATCGCTACACCCCCTGTGGAAACCAACCTGTCTTGAGCCTCTGCATGGCTTAAGCAATCAGAGTAAGGCGAGCGATGTTGCCAGGGAGACTGACCGCATCTTCCGTTGCCTGGGGAACCTCTTTGGACCGAACGCCTAGGATGCATTCCAAGAAAGGCCAGTGGGACAGAACAACATTCAAAGAGATCTGCTGGGCACAACATCAAGTCCTGGGCTGGAAGACCCTTTAGCTCTTAAGAGCCACGCCACCTTCGTCAAAATCTTCTGGAACTGAGTACAGCAATCGGTGCAACCCTTGCCTTTATTTAGTGGAGAGCACACACTGTGCCCTGAACTCCTTTTTTCGCAATTCTCAGACCCCCACCCCCATCCCCTGACTTCAGTTTTCAAAAATCAACGGCACATTCTCCTGGCTTTCTAAGGAGAAAACACAAGACGTGTAGTCTAACCCTTAAAATAAGCTTGAGCTAGTTATTGTTAAAGAAAAGCCAACCAACACCCCAAACTCTCTCACTCCTCCGTACCAACCCAGGGGAAAAAACAGAACATCTGGACTGCAGCTGTGTGTGTGACAAGACCCCCCACCCCTTTGCATTTTTACAACAGCCGCTGAATGCCCTCCCCTCAAATAAGAGCCCCTGAAATGTTGAGTGCGGTCTGCAGCCACCGTCAAAGCACTGCCTTGTCCTGGCTCGTACAAGGTTACTTCTATCATTTTTTTCGGAAGGAAGGAGGAAACAGGAGATAATAATATCACAGTGAGAAAAGTGAAGAGGCATGGCCTAGGTAGTGGAAGTGTGGCCTGGCGTAATATTTGACAGCCCAGACTGAAAG